CACAAACTGTACACTTCATAACATCTTTTGAGGTTTCATTGTTACATATTTTTTCAGAACTGACAAATAGATTCACACTTTCTAGAGAATACATTGTAAAAATACTGTAATGTGTTACATCTCTTAAAGGCTAGTGCAAAAACATTTACTATCAGTAATACAATTATATGCTGTCAAGTTTCACAAATGGCTGTTTAGCGCGTACAAAAAGCCAGTAACACGAGTTCCAAAAAGATTTTATTTTCTTTCCCTTCTATAATGCAGAAGCCATAGATATTGACTCGAACAATGGCTGGGTACCAAATCACAAACTGCATTTAAAAAGTCACACCATGAACACTGAATAAAAGGTACCAAAACAGTCAAGTATTTAATTTTAGATCCCAGTCAACCAATACCACATAGCAAGAAGAGACGAAAGCTTAGAATAACTCTGGAGTTCTTCATAGGCTACATAGATTTGGCAAAAGTTGTGATCTAATTGTAAAGATTATCTTAAAGGTAGGCAGTTTATTGGTGATTTTGGGCCTAATCCAATGCCCACTGAAGTCAGTGGAAGGATGTCAGTGGGATTAGAATGGGCTCTTAATTCTAAAATGTTTTAGATTTATATTTTGTATTTTAGCCCTCAACTTTTCCACAGGCCAGGAACCCAATCTTAACTTCTAACCTTTCAGGTCATTCGCTCTTGAAAGCGACTTCGCCATAAATAAACAAAATATTCTCTTGTGAAAAAAATAGAGTCCCAAAGGCTAAATCCTGTTCACATCACCTCATTCCCATGAGTAGTTCCACTGAAATCAATGGGCTGGAATATGATTTGTGTTACATGCCCTCTCAAAGGAGTAAGAGGTGTAAAGAACCCACTTTAGCTCCTACACAAATTAGTTGGGCTCTGATATGGAGTGCACAGGGTTAGGTGCCACTAACTTGGAGGGTGAGGAATAAGCAGAGATAGGTGGAGAATGGATGGAAACTTGACTCTACCTCCCACATCCTGGTTCGTGCAGCTGAGCTGGCATGAGGGCTGTTGTAATTTACTGCTAGTATAGGGTAGGAGTAAGACTCTGATACAGCCGTCCATCTCTATTCAGCAAAGTAGTTTAGCAGGTGCTTAACTTTAGGCACATGCCCAAGTCCCAATGACTTTAATGGGACTTAAGTTTCATGTTTTTCTGTATAGGAAGAGACTTAAGCATGTGCTTAAATCTCCTAAATGACTGTGCCCAGATCAAAGCGGAAAGAGGGAAGGAACTGGGAACTGGAGGGGTGTCCTCCTGGTCTGCTCCTGGGGTGGTGCAAGTAGCTGCTACCCCTGGCTCAGGGCTGTGCCTATAAAGCCCCATTGAGACTGCTCGTGTGAGCAAGGTGGCAGTGTTTAGACCTACATTTGGAAGAAGCGAAGAAAATAAACAATCTGAAATATATATAATTTCTTAAATTAATAAGTAGTTTTCTACTTGGTATTCTTAGCAAAAGTATATTTTATTTCCTATTTTTCATAGAAATATATATTGAAAATAAGTGCTTCATGTTTGCTGTACAACAGGACGATCTAAGGGTGACACCGGAAAGGTCTACTCTGTCCAGACACACGCCGAGCTTCACTACTAATATGGCATCAGATGGAAAACTCTAGGCTACAATTAAAATAAAAGAGCCAATAAAGATATGTCTGACCTCGACACCAGGCTACAGACACCAGACATTTTTATTTACTGAATCAGGCAGCTGAGGCTTACATTGCTTGCCAATACTAGTCAAATCAACACACGTGACAGGCAATAGTTCATACTCTAGAGGTGCACTGAAGACTTGAATGTAAACTGAATTGGCAGCAAACCAGAAGCATCAATAGTGGAACCTTCAGAATTAATTCTGCTTGCCTCCAGTTGGTTTGCTGGGTTCGTTTCATGACATTTTTACCTTACTCGTATATTTTATCATATGCAGCCTGATCCAAAGCTCATTGAATTCAATGGGGATCTTTCAATTGATTTCAATGGGCTTTGGATCAGGTCCATGGGGCTGTGCTTCAGCCCCTTGTCATCTGTCTTGGTATTGCAAAGAAATGACATACTAAAAGGAATAATAGAAAACTGGACACTGCCTGAACACTCATTTTTACTGGGTACATATAATGGCAGAGATGTAAAATATGACTTGGACATTTAAACAAAACTCCAAACCTCTCATTTGAATTAATATAAGAACAATTACTTCAAATACAGAAAGAACAGCAGCTTACCTGCTTAAAAAAATCTTGGTGTGAAAGACTGCTACAATTTTTATATATTGCAACTAAAATGGTAACAGATTTTAATAAGCTTCCTTTACCAATGCAAAATATAAAAAAGTGTATTATTTTTAAAAGTATATTTATATCTTTTTAAAAAGCTAAATGGAATAACTTTGTGCTCTATTCTTTCAATAATTATTAAAGCTGCAGTATTGTGTTATTTTGTGGTTTTATTGGGTTGAGGGTTTTTTTTTTCTTTTTGACAACAGAAAGGGTTGCAATTTTTTGTCCTACAATTGTTTATCACTGAGAAGGCTTTCAAAGTACAGTGTACAGCTTTTTTCTTAGCATCTCATAAGAATAAATATTTCTGCGAAGAGATTTTTAAAACCTTTCTTTGCATAATGTTATATCCCCTTCAGTTCACGAGTAGATCAATAGTACCACTTTTGCTGCTGGTAGATAACAAATTATCAAAGTTGCATCTCTTTTAATAAAAAGAGGATCACTTACTAACAACCCTCCTTGGGCAGGATTCTCATTTACTCCATTTGTGCATGAAGTGGTTTCAGAATCAGGCCTAAGGTCTTAAGAGGTTTCCCCTCAGGCACTGCTTTAACGTATACCACCTGGCTATGATGCACAGTGGGTGTTGGCCAGTGGTGCCAATTCAGATTTTTCCTATGATGGGGTGGAGTGGGGAGGGTTTCTTTCCCTCCACCTGGGTCTCTGTTCTAGTTTCTGCTCCTCCGAGGGAGACCTGGCATCCGTGTGGGACAGAGAGTCTCCCTTTCTCTTATCCACACTGTGCATGAGTTCGTGGCACCAGGAGTCAAGCAGGCTCCCCAACCTCTGCTGTACAGGAATAGATACCCCATGTGCCAGTTTGCTGCACAACTCACTGATATTTGGCCTGGTCTCCCATCTGTACGGAGGAGCAATTGGGTCAAATTTCAGTGGCATTGTGACCATGCAGCTGGAGCAACGCTCCAGACCACTTCAGCACTAGCTATACTAATTTGGTACAAGACCACTGCTTAAAAATGGTCCGGCCATGCCCACCCTGGTTCTGTGGCCTCCGGAACTTGGAGCAAGTGCAAAAACCCTGGGCTAGGGGAGGCATTCACTCCCTCCAATCCCCAGTTGGCACCACTGCCCTCTGCCAGGTGAGAGTAGCCAGAGCGCAGTCGTGCACCAGCCAAGGCCACTTTCATCCTAACATGGAGCACAAAGGTCTACCAGTGTAGATTCAATTTCAGGACTGGGGCTTAAACACAGTGAAGCAGTACATTTCATATTCAGCAGTCCGACTATACCCTGATAATAAACGTGTACTGATTTGGGGGAACCTGACAGATGAGAAGGTTAAAAGGTTCAACAAATTAGTCAAGCCCCTGTGCTAAGGGAATAATTCAAGTCATTAGACTCTCTTATCCTCTCTAAAGCTGAAAAGGAACAAAAAAATAACATAACATAAAGTGTTCTTTGGAGGTTCATTCTAATCTCCTTCCTCATTTTCTGTGATAATCAAGGCTCCCTTCTGATAAAGAAGTCCACTCACACACACTCATGTGCTAAATACAATAAAATAATTAGATTTGGCAATTCTAGATCCCTTTTCATCCAAAGGTCCTCAGAGCTCTCCACAAACATTAATTAATTAAACCTCACAAAAACCCTGCAAAGTAATGACTCTATTAGAATCACTTCAACCTCTGCAGAAACACAGTCACCTCTGGGGTGAAACAGTCACTGGTTAGCAGCAAACACCACCACTTTGCAACTGCTTAGGACAAGAGAAGAAGAACTCAGAATCCAATTGAAACTGTATATGTAACTTTAGATAGAAAAAACAAAATCAGTTGGAGTTTGGACTGGACACCAATCCCACTACCTCTATTCATACTGAAAGAGCTGTTGGATATTAAATGAGAAATACACTGTAATCAGGATTTCAGTTTTGTGAGTCCTCCTCAATAGGTGCAGGATGGCTACACCCATTATCTTCCTTCTTCAGGAAGCTGTCACAGAAAACCATTGACCCTGCTCCAGTGAATCATGGTCATCAGAGGTGCAGTAAGCAGCATTACTCCCATCTCCTTCCCTTCCAGCAGGCAGCAGGAGAGGGAAACACACTATCCCTGTGCTGCTACTTGCTGCTAGATTGAGTGGCATGGTGACCCCTACATTGTTCTGTGGCATTAGTCTAACTATGGTTCAGATTGAAGAATGGTATCTTCTGAATCACATCAGCACTTACAATAGGTGCTTCCTAGTAGGTCTTCCATCCAAACACGCACCTGGTCTGTAGCGATTGGAAAATGTGCTGGGCTCATAGCACAGAAGGCTGGTTTGTTCTAATCTGTGCCAGCTGCCAATGCCATTAAAAACCATTACAGCGGTAGGGGATCAGTGGGTCATGAGGAAGCTCTGGCTATGTCCCTTTTGCCCGAAGTATGCTGCAGCGGGGAGGGTAGGCACCGTTATGACACCACGTTAACACCTTCGAATCCTCTTTGCAGGGGAGCTAGAACTGCTGGGTTTAGGGACACTGCTCTAGGAATAGGCAAAGTGCCTGCAGTATGGCTCAGGCCAACTGGCACAAACACAAGGCCATGGAGAATCAGACCCAAAATATTCACTTTTTTTATGGAAGTGGAGCTTGCTGCATATACATTTTGTGACTCAGTCCATACAATGTCACTTTACCCCTGCCTTTAATTTTGTCACTCTTTTTTTTTTTTGACAAGCTAAATCAAAATCATAAAAATCAAGTGCTCTTCAGAGGCTCAATTGGCTCTTCTCCCCTCTCACCATGAGTTAGTGACTCGGATGCTAAAAAAGGGAGCTAAATGTCTTGTTATGCTGTTAAATCCTCATTTCCCTTTCTCCTTCATTTTCATGCAGCTCTCACTCTGGATTCATTTGATTAAACAACACAGGCCCCCACCTCCATAATCTTTCTCCCTCTCTCTGCTCCTAAAGGAGCTTGGCTTTCCAGGTGAAGAATACCAAAAATATTACTCTTACATTTTAAATAAAATCTCAAATATTTATCATTTTTATTTTTGGGGGGTAAAATATGTGCATCTACAACAGTGTGTTCAGGTGAAAACTTTTATTGACATTCATTTGGGATTGTCTGCATAATATATAAATGGCAAAGCTACCTGCGAGTGATGCAGCTGTCAGGGTTACAGGACGAACGGCAACTCTGTCCTCTTCCTGCGCGCGCCCCCTCAGGCATCAGGCCTCATGACTTTACCTCTCCTGGATGGAATTCCCGAATTCCCCCATTTTTAGACCAGGCCCTGGGCTACAACACCCTGTGTATTGACCGTTCTTACCCAGCACATCTAAATGGGTTTAGTTACCTGTCATTCTTCCCTTTGGGAGTCTGTGACCAGTGATGTACATAATGGCCAAATCACTTCCATAAAACAAATGGATTGTTTATTTTGGCAGAAGGAAGAAAGCATTTAGAGAAAAAGAATTTTAAAATGCCCACAGTTTACATGCATGTCTATTTTACTTAACTGTTTGCCATACCCTGAGGTAATCTAGGCAGGCCTCACTTCTGCAGGCCCTTTCAGCGGGTGCCTGCACCTTAGTCTGGTTCCCATGAACAAATCCCCCATCTCCTGAGAGAAAGAGACCCTCACTGCTATAGTCCTTTTGTTTTTGTGTTCTCAGGCGGTGAGCTTTCTGAACAAAACTAGTTTTGCAGGTTGACTGGGGAGGAGGTAAAGTCTTCAGAGATAACAGTTCAGGCATTGTCCCTTAACAACTCTCAAGCATTTGAGGTGTGGTGTATCTTGAGTCATGCAATGTTTTTGGAGATGCTGTCTATCAGGTAAGACATAAAACCAAGGCCCTGAGCACTTACTGTCTTTAAGAACCTTGTAGCACTTTTCACAAGATAGGAGATATTAGTTCCGTTTTCCTCTTTGGTATATAAATCCCTCATGTAGTTTCATTTGGATAGATTATTCTCTTGGATTTCCAGCCCTTATTTTCCTGTGTGTTGCTGAACAGCTGCCAACCTCTAACCCAGAAATGAGAGAAGGCATTTCTGTATATAAGAACTGAGTTCATTTCATATAATGCTTTGGGATGAAATGTACTATATTAATGTAAGGTTTCAGAGTAGCAGCCGTGTTAGTCTGTATTCGCAAAAAGAAAAGGAGTACTTGTGGCACCTTAGAGACTAACCAGTTTATTTGAGCATAAGCTTTCGTGAGCTACAGCTCACTTCATCAGATGTAAGGTATCATTTGTCATGACTATGACAAAAGACAGTTCAGCATCTCACTTCATTTCTATACTTGCTGCTTCTGTTTCCCCTTCCCACAACCTTTCTAGGCACCCTCTTTATCACTGCCTCAATAGTGCATTGAGGCCCATCATGAAGAATGAATACACAGCATGAATATCACAAAGATTACCTGCTCTAAAGAAGTGTTTTGTTCCACCAACTTTGCAGTTGTGCGGTTCTTATCACAATCTCATCCTGGTTATTATCCTATGTTTTCAATAGCTCTGTATTCCATCATGTTTGGCAGTTGTACAATTTTCTAGAAGTTGAGTGCTTAGATTTTTGAATGATCCTCATAAGCCAGCTGGAAGTGAGTTTGTGAATAAAAGGTCAAAACTGGGTCTCGTTTCATATAAGAGGAACGAGGAGCCAAGAACATTTTCTCTCTAAAATATTCAATAATTCTACCCATCGCTGGCTTATCTGACTGACTTTAAATCATCTCTGGTCCAAAAGCTGCCTCACAATCTACTTAGCAATGCACATTTAGGTCATATTTTATGTCAACAGAATTTTCAAGCACATTCATTTGAATGCACACAAAACCCGTACTTTGAGTCAGGGAATCTCTCTTCCTATGTTTTTGTTTAGCATCTAGCACCAATGGAAGCCTATTTCTCATTGGGCTTCTGGATCCTATTGCATCGTAAATGCTAAATAATCATGATTACATATATTGTGTGTGTAAGTACTAGAGTATTTTCAAAAGTAGATTTTTGCATGCTCAGATAAATACTTTCTCAAATTTTGCTGGCATATTTATTGAACTCCTTTGAAAAGGTAGCTTTTTAAACACTAAAATAGTCCCGTTACATATGTAATGCTGCTATGGCTTCCCACAGGGCGAGTTACTGTAGACCAAGCCATGATCTGGGATTTTCAGTGCACTGTAGCAGCATCTACATGGGATATTACTCCATGGCAAACTGTAGAGTAACACCCTGGTTTGCCGGGCAGTACCTTGCCAGGTAGATAAGCCCCTAGTGAGTGTTAATATAATTTCTTAAATTCTCCAACATTTATGCTTTTAAAAAATGATTTAAAGTGTTTATGTGCAAAGTATAAATCTACCAATGAAACTTATGAAGCATCATAGACCGTTTATATCCCAGAAACCATCTAGGTACATATTTTCTTCATGGGTTAATCATCATCACCCTAGAAACTGATAGTCAAGGCTTCCAAATAGATAAAATAAAAGCCAACAGAAAATAAATGAAAATACAAAAGTAAGAGGAAAGGATGACTAGGTAAGGATTCCCTGGAAACTGAACAAATTGCTAAGCCTTATGGGTAGATGTGGTTAGAAATTAGTTTTTTCCTGAGAAAAACTTTGATGAAAATTAAAATTGCTTATTTTCATTGAAATGTTATTTCTGAATTTTTTGGTTTTAAACTGAATAATTTGCGGTTTTGATCACTGAAAACCAAAAGTATTTCAAGTTTTTGGATGTTTTGTTTTTTGATGAAAACCAGATAAGAATATAAAAATGGCCATAGTGAGTCAGACCAATGGTCCATCTAGCCCAGCATCATGTCTTGTGACAATGGCTGGTGCCAGATTCTTCAGAGGGAATGAACAAAACAGGGCAATTCATTGAGTGAAGCACCTCCTGTTGCAAGTCCTAGCTTCTAGCAGTCTGATGTTTAGGGGCATCCAGAGCATAATTTTCAACAAACGTGGAAATTTTTGAGAAAAAAAAATCCATTTAGTCAAAAAAGCCATTTTGATGGAAAATGTGTAACCTGATGTATTTATGGGTTACTGCAGTCCCTGCCCTGCCACTCAATCTAGCAACAGCTAGTAGCACAGAGATAGTGTATTTCCCTCTCCAGCTGGTGTATTTCCAGATAGTGTATTTCCCTCTCCAGCTGCTGGAAGGGAAGGAAGTGGGAGTAATGCTGCTTCCTGAACCTCTGATGATCATGATACACTGGAGAAAGGTCAGAGGCTTTCTATGGCAGCTTCTTGAAGAAGGAAAATAATGGGTGTAGCCATCCTGCACCTATTGAGGAGGACTGAGAAGGGCTTTCATAGATTCTAAGGCCAGAAATCCTCTTGAGGCAGTACAGGGGAAAGTCAGTGTCAGATTACTGCTGCTTGAATACAAACCTGGTAGAGAAAAGGTTGTAGGAAAAAAGCGGCAAGGTGTTGGGAAGATGGAGGGGGAAGAGACAAGTCAGTGGAGTTTGGCAGATCTACAGTCCAGATTAAAGAGGGCGATGTGTGAACTGCATCAGCCCAGTTTCAGTGGCTATTTGTGAACATCTGCTTCTGTTTGTTTGCAGCCCCACTAGAAACCGAAACCTACCCTGGTTTTCAAGTTCCACTCAAACTTTTTGCATAGACCTATGGACAGCTTCATTGTTGTTCAAACTGTGTTTTATGGGTTTTTTTTTTAACTCATTAGTATGGTGGGGAAACACTTCATTATTTACCCAAGAGACCAGAGTGGCTCATAGGAGAAATTTGCATTTAGGCTTTTCCATTTTATAGTGTATTATTGTAAGTATATATAAGAGCTGAACAATTTTTTTGGAGTCACTTAATCCATCATGTAAATACAGTTCATATGGGTGGAGTTTGCTGTTCTGAAAGCATTACAAATTCTGTAGTACAAAAAAATTTCTTATGAAAAATAATTACTGTGCCCAGCCAATTCAAGGTAAATTCAGGCTTTTAGAAATGTGAGTTTTTCAAATTGCCAGATGTTATTGGAATATATTTTACACAGACCACTTGCTAAGTTTGATTGTGTTTAAATCAAAATAATATTTATGATATTTCAAATATGCAAATATAGGTAATCAAAACATTTCTTCAATTTTTTTGCACCTTGTCTACAAATTAAGCACAATTATGTTTCTTAAAAGCTGGAAGGAAAAGTTATTTATTCATTCACTGAGACTTTCTTTGCTAAGTTTTCACTCTAAGTGAACTTTTATGACAAAGGTGTACACTTTTAACATGGTGGTCTTCAGAAAAAATGGTATCATCTAAGGCTCCTAATCCTGCAAGAAGCTACACACATGCATAACTTGTGAGAAATCCCCTTGAAAAGAATGGAATTGCTCACATGGTAAATGAAGCACAGACTTAACTTTGCAGGATCAATACTCAAAGGATCAATGAAAAAATAAACCATTTTACATTACTTAAATACATCACTGATAAGGGCACAATAAGAAAAACAGTCTATAATCTACAGCTAGATTTTTTTTGAAAGTCGGATGCCTAAATTTAAGTATTTCAACTCATATGAGTAGGCACCTAATTAAGCAGCCTGGTTTTTCAGAGGGGCAGAGCACCCATAAATCAAGTTTGGAAACACAAGCCATTATTAATAATTTTATGAACAAAAAAAAGAGCACAAACTGGATTATTATTCCTTTGGTTCTGGATAATAATTTAAATCCAAGAAAGAGATCATTTAAATATCTTGCCACTTATAATAAAACATACATGATATTAATAGAAAATGATGAAACAGTTATAAACAAGATATTGTTCATTAGTGAACACTAATGCTACATTTGATTGTGAACTTGTTAGCTTTTTTTGGATATTAGATGCAAAAAAGTGCAAAGAATATGCAGTCAACTGTTACAGTACCACATTACAAAATAGTAACTTTTGGGGCACAAAACCCCATTTCCTATAATACTTTATATTAAGATAAATGTATACTCAAAATAGTTTTTGAATCTCGAGATATATAAGTATGTCTCTATATCAGCCTTGCAAAACTATCACGAAAATTTACCAGCCCAGGCACAAAATCTCATGATGATGATGGTGATGAAAACCAAATTACAGTTTACTCTCCTATTTAAAAAATTTACATGCCCAAGGCAAGTGGATGAGTAAAACTTTGCAAGGCTGTATGTATATATATTTATTTATTAAAATATAATCTTGAGGGTTAAAATACCATGGGACAAGAGGACCAAATCTCTAGAAGGAAACAGTTTCTATAGGATTCAGCAAAGGTGGTTTGCAACGAATTTTTTCAACCGTTGGTCCCTTTTTTTGTTTTTGTTTACAGTAATATAGAAAGATGGCCTATGTGTTTGTGTATGTAATTATTTTATGCTTGGTTTTACTAGAACATCAAGACTAGCTTTCTGTGGTTTTTCTGGAGGAAATAATAGACATCTCAGAGCATGTTTCCTGGGAGCTATCACACCCTAATTAAAAAGCTGGAGGTGATGGATTTTTATAAATAAATTATTTTTCCAAAATGTTAGTCACTGAAATAAATAGGTATTAACAGAGCCAACCAAACCCAAAAGATTTTTTTAAGTCTGAGTAAAAATCCCCTCCTCTCAGTTTTCATTCTCTTGACTTCTGTCATGTCAGAATTTGGTAGTTCTCCCAACATTACGGAGTTTTTCTGCATAAACAGGACATACATTTCTAATTTTAAGCTGTTTTGGGATTTGTTTTTAAACTGAAACCTTTCTGGCTTTCTTTATATGTCAAAAAGAAACAAGCAAACAAACAAACAGAAAAAAGGGAACAACCCTAATTAATTTTCCTATTGTAGCTCATCTTTAAAAGTCCAGGGCCCAGTCCTGCAGCCTTTTCTCTGTTCTTACTCAGTACAAATTCTCTCACTGAGCTAAATTGGAGTTTTACTGAGACTTGGATCAATACTGCAAAGTAACGTGCTAGTATTTGTTCAGTTTTTTTAACCAACTAGCTTTAACTGATGCTCAGTTTGTATTTTTTTTCCTTGAATATTCTTGAGTTTACTAGCAGGAATGTTCTATGAGTTAGTAACATTTAAGTTTCTACCTCACTATATTGACAGAAGGCAAATTTCAAATTCATAATCCCAAGTATTTTCACTGGACGCCTGATTCTAAGAAAAACACTTATCCAGTCCTATTAAATTCATAGGAACAGAACAGAACCAATCCCATGTGAACAAGGCATCCAGTCAAAATAGCTTGGATATCAAATACCACATAGTTGTCTCCATAATGTCAGTAGGATTGTTGTAAGGGTTCAACTGCATGCATTCATTTGCAGGATATGATCCATAGGACCTGAACTAAAACCAAATGAATTCAATAGGATCCTTTCCATTGACTTCAGTGGGTTCTGGTGCGGGCCCACGGTGAGCAAAGTAACATTCAAGACAATCATAGAGAAACTGGACATTATGTTGTTAGAATTGTTTTTTCCTAGTACATCAAAATCTGTAAACGTTTTCTTTAATGGTCATATACGGTTTAGTGCAAAATTTATAATTTATAGGCAAGTTACAAAATAAGTGCGGTATATGACAATTTTGCTACTTTAAAAGGAATAGCATCATAAACTCCATTTATTTTCAAGTGCTAGTATATATGTATTTGTTTTTTTCTGATTTCCTTCCATCTGCAAAGAAACAGGTTGTATCAAAACAATACTTTATGACAGAGAGAAAAATGAATATCTTTGCATAAGGAAGGAGTATTTTGGCTCAAGTGAAATTCATTCTTAAGAAATTATTAGAAACTCTAATATAAGACTTAGAACAGGAAGAAAATCTATTTTAATACAAAAATATGGATACAGTTCATCTCAGGAAGCCAAACCTTTTGTTAATGTAGGTGTGATGGACATGGAGCTTGGACACTGGATGTGATGAATCCGTTCTCGTGCCCTAGGGTGTAGGTGGTGGTTTTGGTGATGAACAAGACCCCTGGCTATCAAAACTGGTTGCCTGGCCAGGTAACTGAAAGAAAAGTTTTAGTTTTACAATCATCATCAGGTCTCTCCACTCATCATGGTTATTTCTGAGGATGAGAGAGTCATAAGGACCCTCTCCAAAAGATGGAGCTGAATTGTACCTCCAAATGAAAAAGACATTTTTAGAAAATGAAAACTTAATCTGAAGTAATTTTTATGCCTCAGTACACCCCTCCTGGAGAATTAACCATGGTAAGGAAACTTTTTTTGGGGGACCTCATAAGGACCCTCCCTGAATCATTCCATTTGGGTGTGGTTTGCTTCACCATCTACTGAGTTCTGTCTCCAAACCGTGCATATATGCTGGAGAATCCAGGAGGAGGCCAGGAACCTCTGTGCAGTGCCCTCTGAACTGTTCTGGCTCCAGCTTCCTCTCTCTCACACATTCCCTGAGAGTGTAGCTCCGGCAGACACTCCCCAGCTGCCACCGCCCTGGACGCTTCTTTAAGGGTGATTCCCCACAGTAGAGGGAGCCATGAAATAGTCAGTGCTGCCTCAGGTTGTATCAGCTCTCAACTGGGTTATCTGCAAGGCTTGATTGAAGAGAAGGGGTGAACAACATTTGTCCCCCTGACCCTAATCCTAGCCTGCTCCCTAATGAACCCAGTCTGCACCCTCCCAGCCCGAAAGCCATGACTCCAATGGGTGTTATGGATCTGGAAGGATGTTGTCCTAAGACACTGAAGGGGATCTTCTCAAAGTTCACAGTTACACACAGAATTTTCCCTGCCTTAGGAGTAGAGGGTTCAAATAAGTGACTGTTTTAGCATTGCTGTATGTGGTGTGACAAAGCTCTGTCCTTGCCTCTATGGGTCCTGCATTTCCTGGCGGATTTCGCTAGCCTCAGAGGCTCACTGTGACCCTCCACGTAACCCTTCTTTGTCTAGAGACAAGGGTCACAGTCTACTGAGCCATTTTCATCATAAGCCAGCAAGGGAGGTGAGGAGAAGTTATCCTTCCTTGCACAGTCTCTGTTGTCTCCCAGTCTCAGTGATTAATCAGGGGGCAAAGGTGGGGGGGAGCCCGGGCCCACCCTCTACTCCGGGCTCCAGCCCAGGGACCCTAATAGTATCAGCTATGGTAGCTGACCTTTTAGAAACATGACATGTACAATTCCCTGGGCTACTTCCCCCACAGCAGCCCTCACTTCCTCAAGCTCCACTTCACCCTTACCTCAGGGCCTCCTTCCTTGTGCCTGATATGGTGTGTACTACTCAGTCTCTCCAACAGTGCAACTTCCTCCCACAGCTCCTGACATGCACACTCACCTGACTGACTGGGAGGCTTTTAACTAGTTTCAGCCAGCCCCTGATTGGCTTCAGGTGTCCCAATCAACCTAGCATTCTCCCTGCCTTCTGGAAAGTTCTTAATTGGCCCCAGGTGTCTTAATTGACCTGGAGCAGCTGCCTTTTCACTTATCCTGGTACAAGGGATTTGTTTAGCTTGGAGCTAATATATCTATCTCCCACTACTTTTCTATAGCCATCTGGCCTTGCCCCGTCACAGTGGCTACTGGTGTGTAGCCTCAACTCAGCCTACTTAATGGAGAAATCTAAACTCAATATTTTAGTGACACAACTCTCTTTAATGCTAATGATTTCAGATAAGAAAATGATTGCCCTTGAAATATTTACATTTACCACTCCAAAGTAATTAAAAAAAAAGGAGTTCTTTTGGCACCTTAGAGACTAAGAAATTTATCTGAGCATCCGATGAAGTGATCTGTAGCTCACGAAAGCTTATGCTCAAATAAATTTGCTAGTCTCTAAGGTGCCACAAGTACTCCTTTTCTTTTTGCGGATACAGACTAACATGGATGCTACTCTGAAACAAATAATTTTAAGCAACCCTTGGTAATCTCAAAATAAACACTAGGTAGCTGCTAAGAAGATTTGAAAGAACTTTATATCAAAACCTTGAGAGCAGAGCAAGGCAACTTCTGAAGTGACACTTTCAGATCAAAATTAAAGCCCTAAATCAGAACCTCACTGATTAAAATAACAGCATAAATCAACAAAATCATTCTTTAGACGTGAACTGAGTCATAGATTTCTTTTGACTGTCCACTATTTAGAGAAAATTCAATCCATAAACATAAGAAACTTCCTATTCAAGTGGAGTGCAGGAAGGTTTAGGAAGCGAAATGCATCCCTGAAGCCCAGGGTCAATTTCTGACCCCTGGCCTGCCCCAAAGTGGATCTCCATACCAGCCTTTTCAGGGCAGGGCAAGGTGCTTTTCTGCAGTATGTAAGGTATGCACAGGCATCCCCGCTTGGCCATTCAACCCTCTCTCCCCCTTCACACACAACTCTCATGCAAGATTTAAGTGGTGTGGAGGATCTTCCACAAGCTCCCCACATGGGGAGTGGTACCCACACCTTAGTGACTGTCATGATTCTCAGAGGCTCATGGAAATGAGTTATTAAATGCAGAGAGATGTAGCAACAAGTTGGCTATAGAGATATACTACTTCTTACCTCTACCAATGGATGCCAATGAGTAATAGGTTTACGGGGGTAAGCCAGCATTTCATTCCAGTGATCTCTTCCAAGTCCTTCAGCATCAAGTCCTGTCCTACACACCCCGATCACCTCATTGTGTCCTACTCTGAGGATTACAGAAGGGCAGAGAAAGCTTTTCGTAATGCAGATAGATTTATTAACATCTTTGAACCATAATGCAGTTTGATTGGTTTAGCACAAAATGTTTTTGAAGATGCCCAAAGTGTGCACATTATTGTTATTAATCATATTTATTACAGGATGACTGAAAAATCCCAGTCAGGTTTGGGGCACCATTTTGTTAGGAGCTATAAAATCACAGATGAAGAAATTGGCCCTGCCCTGGAAAGCTTACAGTTAGAGCCCTGCAAATCTGTGGATATCCACTTTAAATCCACAAATATCTGCGGATGCGGATAACCACGGACCATGTTCGCAGATTGGATGCAGATACAAATTTGGTATCTGTGCAGGGATCTACTTACAATCCAAAAGAACAGGCAAAGAGTTGGAGACAGGGATAACATACAAATAAATGACCATGGTTTTGAGTATGCAGTGTTGCGGCTGTGTTGGTCCCAGGATATTAAAGAGACAAGGTGGGTGAGGTAATATCTTTTATTGGATCAACAACTTCTTGGTGAGAGAGACAAGCTTTTTGAGAGTTTACACAGAGCTTTGCTTCGGGTCTGGGAAACTTACTTATTGTCACAGCTATTTCTGTATTGGAGCAGGTTCTCTCGGGGTATTTGGGTGGCCCATTCCATGAGATGATCTACTTCTCTGGTGGAGTGTCCTTGTTTGATGAAGGTGGTTAAGTGTGTTAAGCTGTGTATCCCAAACTTTCTCCTTAGAGCATATTCTATGGTATTTGAGTACCTGGCTGTAGCTAACAGATTTCTTGATGTATTTGGGGTGGTTACCGGACCTATGAAGGTAAGCATCGTGATCCATGGATTTCTTGTATATAGTTATCTGTAGGTTTTGAGTGTCACAGGTTAGTTAGTTACATGTTTTGCTGTTGTGTTTTAAATTGTGGGGAGAGGGATGATGATGAGTAGGAATTGGAGGAATGAGGGTCCATCCAGGATCCAAGAGTAACTGCTGATCTTAAGGTATATTTTTCATCTTTAGTCTGTCAGAATAATTAGAACCTCAGATACAGAAACATAAAAGGTAGATCTATGCTTCTTATCAAGGCATTCAGGGGTGTAACCATGACTGGCAAAAATCTTAACACCAGCTAAATGCTTAATAGTGCTGACTCTAACATTGATCTATTGTGTGACCTTGATCAAGTCACTTTCTCTCTCTTTCTCATTTCTTCCCTCTGCAAACAGGCAGTGATACTTATCTTCCCCTATGACAAAGCCTTTAATTCTGAATGTCTCTGGAACTCATGAGTAATAGTAGGTGTGAGTGAAGTAGGCTCTGCCCAAGCACTATTCTGTCAATCCATTTCTAACGTAACTTGCAACCCCCAGGCTATTTTACTCATAGGGATGACGTTGTCCCCTTTGTGCTAGGAAACTGGGAAAGGATGGGAGGGGATGGAGCTCTGCCCTTATCAGAACATAAGTGGGCGATGCAGTTGTGGGGTATTTCCCTCCTCTATATGGAGACAGGAAGTAGGCAGGGCCAGGGTAATTGACCTGAAGTAATGAGTCCCCTGGTTGAATTATCTGTAAGAATTTAACCCAGGGTCTATAGAGCTAAAATATTTTCTACTGCTTGAGCTAAAGGAATAACTCCATTCGCTGAAAGTTTTACAGACTTACAAACCCTTACACGGTCTAGCCACAGAGTCGCGGGGGGCGGGGGGAAGAGGGGAATGGAACGGACAAAGACTCACACTGTTAATGTGGGTTACATTTACATGACAATTTCCAGTCATGTTTAATTTTCTTCATACCATCATTAATGACACTGATAAACAGAAGTAAACACTGAAAGGTATGGTAGCTTTGAATCCTCCAGGAGAGGATTCAAAAGTGTTATTTTACTGTCAGTGGATTTACTTAAAACACGAGGCAGTTAAAATAATAAATCAATTGCTATAATGAGGAAACCACTTGCTGAAGATTAATATTTTCAGGGGACAAATTGCACTTACCGATCATAGTCCATCACAGCAATGGAGAGGCTGACCTGGTCCACATTCTCTGGAGGGATATCGAAGATGATGGCCTCATTATAAATTGGATTAAGTGTGTTTTTCTTTGTAGTTGTTTTCCGCTTTTTCAGCCTTCGACCCTCACACATCAGTGAGACTTTGACATACGGATCTGAGTAACAGGAAGTCATTTTCACACACTGGTCTCAATGCAGTTGAAATGTAAAGCAAAAGAGCAGCACATTCTTAGCAAGTGAACATTCAGGAAAACCTAAGTTGTATAGGTATTACTGACATAAGACAACCATAGCTGTCTCTGCTGCAATTTCAATTTCCTGTCTACTCAAAAGAAGGTTCAAGCAGATAGAATAGATACACCCACCTCTACCTCACACTCAGCCAGTAGCTCTAATGTTGACCTCTCCACCTTAACCAGTTCTCCTGAAGTTTTCCTGTGATAACCATATTAGTTAAAAAATAAAAGGAGGAGATTTTCAAAAGTGCAGAGGGCAGTTAGGTACCTAACTCCAATTGAAAGTGAATGGGAGTTGTGTGTCTTTGAAAATCTCTCCCCATGTTTTAATGCTTCATTTTCTTTTAATTATCTTCTGCTATTATTTTAGCAGGATAGATTAATCCCCATTGTCCTACCCCTCCAGAAAGCAAAGCAAAACTTAACTAAAAAACAAACAAACAAACCCCAAAACTTTGTAGGTGAAAATCAAAGTACAATATAATGCCAACTGTATCAAAACTTTCCACTGGCTATAGAGATTTTTAATGCTCCACTAAAGGGGTGTCTTCTGAAGAGCATTTCCATTCTGAAAAGTGTCTTTGGTACAACAAGACTGTGGATTTACATGTTTGCCTCGCAGTGCTTTCTGTATCAAGTTTCAGTTTACAACTTTAAAACTAAAACAAAACAACAGTCCTGCAAACTCAGCCTGAACTCTAACAGACAACCAGTGTTTTATCTTACTCAGCATCAAAATAATAAATGTTGGGATGGCCAAATTATACCCTGTCTTTCACCTGCATAATCCCATTGTCTTCAGTGAGTGCCCTCAGTGACTATTGCTTTCAATGGCTTTGCTTGGAATTGTTTGGAACTTTGTAAACAATTTCGTTGATCATGCAAAAGATTAAACAGAATCCTCATTTCACTCTTTCTGAGCCATGTTGTCTCTGCACAGCTAATAAAAAGAAAACGCAGGAAAAAAAACAACCCCCATTTTTTCCACAAAACTGAGCAGATATGACTCAGCATATTCAAAATATACATATTTGTTGAGTAAGAAGTTGTTGTTTTAATATAGCTACTTTTCAGACCAGAACCCCACGTTGTTAAGTGAAAAGAAGAATACCCACCCGAAGCGCCAGTTACATCCATGGCTTTGAGATTTCTACATTTGATTACTGTTAACGTCATTCGCCCGGCAGTAGGTAAATAGCAAAGGGAAAACATGATTTCACCCAAATCTATGCTTTCCTAAAAAGGAGAAATATGGTTAGAATTTTGTGCATTATGCAAACAGTTCAAACAATCCAAAACTGTAGAATCATTCAAAAAATGAATGTGGAAACCTATTTTGCTGAAGATCCAATCTCATTTAGATGTGTTTATAAAGAGATTATAAATAAACTTTTCCAAAAAAAATTATTTGAAGTACAAAAAATAATTAGAAATGGAAGAATATTTTGGTGACTGGCTTTTGAGTTTCAGATTGAGGATTTTAGTTCAGGAACAACCTCAGAACTCTGATGTTCCAGGCTGGTGGGACCAGAGGCATGTTGCATTCAGAGTGAGGAACAAGGAATGCTGAATGTAGGATCCTTGCATGCCATGGCTCCTTGGAAGTCATGGAGAGATACTAATGTCAGCTCTGGAAGGGACTTCGTGTTTTACCCTCCCAGCCAGGCAGTAAGGTGGTGAGGTATCAGCCTAATGTATATTCACATAAATTAAGCCCATTCCACAAATGTGTGAACAATTTGTGTGGATGTGAAAAATTTGCCTCATTTTGTGAGCATTTAGAGAGGTCATTGTACTTGTAAAAGTCATCAACATGAAGCTCTTTACCATTTCCTTCTTCTGTGTTCTATTGGTCAGACAGAAGGAAGGAAAGAGCAAAGTAGCATTCTCAACACTATCTTGTTCCTTCCTGGGTGCAACACAACCTTTAGGAAGGTGATGTACAAACCTGGGAAAGATGGACAAAGTCCAAATAGAAAAGGAGTACTTGTGGCACCTTAGAGACTAACCAATTTATTTGAGCATAAGCTTTCGTGAGCTACAGCTCACTTCATCGGATGCATACTGTGGAAAGTGTAGAAGATCTTTTTATCTATCAGAGGCTCGTTCACCTGCACATTCACCAATGTGATACATGCCATCATGTGCCAGCAATGCCCCTCTGCCATGTACATTGGTCAAACTGGACAATCTCTATGTAAAAGAATAAATGGACACAAATCAGATATCAAGAATTATAACATTCATAAACCAGTCGGAGAACACTTCAGTCTCTCTGGTCACGCAATTACAGACATGAAAGTTGCGATATTACAACAAAAAAACTTCAAAACCAGACTCCAGCGAGAGACTGTTGAATTGGAATTTATTTGCAAATTGAATACAATTAACTTAGGCTTGAATAGAGACTGGGAGTGGCTAAGTCATTATGCAAGGTAACCTATTTCCCCTTGTTTTTTCCTACCCCCCCCCCGCCCCCAGACGTTCTTGTTAAACCCTGGATTTGTGCTGGAAATAGCCCATTTTGATTATCATACACATTGTAAGGAGAGTGATCACTTTAGATAAGCTATTACCAACAGGAGAGGTGTGGGGGGCGGGGTAGAAGGGGAGAAAACCTGGATTTGTGCTGGAAATGACCCAACTTGATTATCATACACACTGTAAGGAGAGTGATCACTTTAGATAAGCTATTACCAGCAGGAGAGTGGGGTGGGGGGAGGTATTTTTTCATGCTTTGTGTGTATAAAAAGATCTTCTACACTTTCCACAGTATGCATCTGATGAAGTGAGCTGTAGCTCACGAAAGCTTATGCTCAAATAAATTGGTTAGTCTCTAAGGTGCCACAAGTACTCCTTTTCTTTTTGCAAATACAGACTAACATGGCTGTTACTCTGAAAAAAGTCCAAATAAAATTTCTTCCTATGGAACTTACTCATCACATTACATAGAGATATTATTTACATACAGGAGAGAGACACTGGGCAGAGATGGAACAAGGAAATAAACTGGCCCTGTTGCATAAATATGAAGCTTGAGAACTGAAGGATAAAAAAAAGAGATATGAATTATGGAGCCTTTCTCCCACGCATGTGTACAGTAATTTCCCTACAAACCAAATATATTTGACAGCAGATATGGTAGATATTGTTCAGGTATGTTTCTCCAGTGAAATCAACAAACAAACAAACACTTTTTAAACCTTAAAAACACAAAAATGGACAAAAAGAAAGTTGTATAGTAAGAACTAAAGGCTCAATCCAAGACTAACGGAAAATAAGGGAGGTCTTTCCATTGACTTCAAAGAGTTTTGGCTCAGGCATCAATACCTATAGTTATATGGATAGTGAGAGATGTGCTGTAGATACTTAATCTTAATACATTTGAAGTTGGCTTATAAATATCATGTTATTGGGCCATTTATGGTCAAACAATTATGGTACGTGGAGGAGAACATGAAACATTTTACCATAATATGCCGGATTAATAATGCCTGTGTAGAAGGTGATACACAGTATGTTGCTGATAATTATGGGCCAGATTGGGACTCTTCATTCACATTGGTGAGCAATTACTCTCATGAGTAGTTTCATTGACTTCAATGGGATTTAAATTTAAATATATGCTTAAGTACAGTCTTTTGCAAAGGTGGATGTAACCACGTCCTTCATTGCTTTTCTGAATCAGGGCCTCTAATTGTAGCTCTAAATTTGAGAATGTAGGTTTCAGAATAGCTTTAAATTATTTCTTGTACTATTAATAAATACAAATAACTGACTGCCCATGTGTGTGAAAAAGCAAAAAATAGCATATAACTTAAAAATTGGATGGTGCCTGCCTGCGAGTCCCAGTGATAATTCAACCTGGTGACGAACAAAAAATGCTCTTGACCATGCTTGTAGTTGTTTTCTTTACTTCACAGTGACTCAACAGACTTTCTGAGCTTCAGAGTAACCCATAGACATAGTGACAATCTTGGAAGCTTATTTAGATTGAATTTTGTGCAGGTCATCTTATATCCCATTCACATATGAAATATGTTTTAGAGTAACAGCCGTGTTAGTCTGTATTCGCAAAAAGAAAAGGAGTACTTGTGGCACTTTAGAGACTAACCAATTTATTTGAGCATAAGCTTTCATGAGCTACAGCTCACTTCATCGGATGCATACTGTGGAAAATACAGAAGATGTTTTTATACGCACAGACCATGAAAAAATGGGTGTTTATCAAAACCTTTTGTAGTGATAAACACCCATTTTTTCATGGTCTGTGTGTATAAAAACATCTTCCGTATTTTCCACAGTATGCATCCGATGAAGTGAGCTGTAGCTCATGAAAGCTTATGCTCAAATAAATTGGTTAGTCTCTAAAGTGCCACAAGTACTCCTTTTCTTTTTGCACATATAAAATAGTTTCCTTGGGGTTTTGTTTTGAAAATTAATAAGTTAATAGGCATGTGCCTATGCAATTTTCATTGCTTGACAAAGGTTCCAAATATTTCAAAATGACTTTTGCTCACATTCAGTCCACATCAGATGGAATTGACCACTTCACCTCTTCTCATACCTCTTATTTTGTGACACATTACTTTCAATTTTATAAATTACAATGCATTAAAAACACTTCTGGAAAATATGAATAAAACATAAACAAATGAAAAGAGACATTTTTCCACCCATTCACAAAAGGAGTGAAATGCCTTAAATTACCTTTAACAGTTTTGTCATATCTGCATGTTTATTCTAATACAGCCCTTTCAGTTATTAGTACTAATTTACGTACATGGGGCCAGATTATGACCCGTGTATTTGTATGCAGAAGGTACTCTCTTTGCATGGTTCCCACCTCATTACACATGGAAAGAGAGTGTAACTACCTTCATACCACCATCTCTTCCATGTCCCCTGCCACCGCAACAAATACACTACAGATGCTTCTTAACATAGTCTAAGGTCCATGCTGGGGGAGGGGATAGAGATGGACTGGCCCAGGTAAGGGAGTGGGCTGGCCAGAGGAAAGACAAGTGGGACACACATCATCCTTCCATTTAGTCCTGTGGCTATTAAGAGAAAGAGCTAACATAGCCCAGGTGGTATGATCATTCCTAAATAGCCTTTAAGACCCATGACCACCTGGCTGACCTGAGGGCTACCACAGCCAAGGGGATGCCTTGGCAGAGTCTCTCTTTGGCTTTATCATGCATGTTAAGGTTTACAGCTATGATTTGTGATCTTAAATGGGAGTTTCTCTTTTAAATTAGATTTCCAAACACTTCTAATGGAAACAAATGAAACCACAGTTCCCAGAATACTCACGTAACTCAAAGTGTCGGAACGTTTGTATCATTCATTTTTTGTTAATGGCTATTTGTTTACTAAGCATGAGCAGGGTGCTCAGCACCATACCAAAAGTACAAATCAGACACAGATTGTTCCTGAAGTGCTTGTACAATTACAGCTGGGCAAAAATTAATGAAAGAAATTGCAAATGTTTTTCAAAATTTTAATGAAAAGTTGTAAGCAAAATTTCAAATTTACTAAAGGAGTTGACCACTCCATAAGCTAGTTGTAAAAACAGCAAAATATGTGGGGGGGGGAAACTTTCAAAAAATAAAAATCACAACATATTTTTTGGACTTTTCAAAATTGAGAATGTTTCCCCCTGCAGTTCTACTTACAATCTAAAACCCAAGCAAATATGGGGCAGGAAGATCCAGAGGATGATGGTTACTTAGATCTTTTAAAAACATTTCTTACAAATATCATAATTCAAGTGAGAGTGAGATATTATGACTTTGTGATGTCTAATCTTTGGTTTAGTAGGCGATTGCTAGAATTATTCATGCATTAAAAAGCTGTCATTGAAAGTGCGTGGAGATGTAAGTGATATTGTAATGCAAGGGTGAGGGTGATATAGAATTATAGCACAAATTATGTTATATTTGGGATGGACACATTGTGCCCAATTCTTCCCTCAGAAAGCCAGATGTGGGGGTAATTTGTTATATTTGAATGGTACGTTCTCATTGTACAGACTTGTAAATTCTTAGGATAGTTACTATGTCTTCCTCTCTGCATTCTGCAGTGCTTAATAAATAATAAATAAATAACAATTCATGGCTCTGGATCATCCCTTTTTCATCCATTTAAATATTCCATATACAATGTAGATGGAAAATGACCTTGAAAAATTACTATCCAAACACCCAGTATTTAACAATATGTTGGACATTGAA